ACATGGACATATGTAGACAGGAATATACGTATATCATAACATGTGCTTTCTTAAGGGGAGAACCTTAGAAAGAAACACATGTGTAGGTGAGAGTTTGGATCAGTGGTAGAGCTTGCCTAACATGTACAAGCAACACCATGAATTCAGCCCCCAACATCACATACACTTACACAATGTACATATTTATGGGGGAGAGGGTCAAAGCACATAGGTTAGTTAAAAGATCATTTTTTAACTTGATGCTTTGAATTACTACTAATGTTTAATGCATGTGTATGTGGTTTAAAAGTAAAAGTAGGCCAGGAGGCATCCGAGTCAGCAAAAAAAAAAATTTAGAGACTGGGCATGGTGTTGCATGCCTGTAATTCCAGCTCTTGGGAAACTAACCAGGTGGATCACTGTGAGTCCAATCTAGTAGTGAAACCCTGAACATCCTGTAGACCCTTCCCTAAAATACAAAAAAAAAAGGTCAGGTGTGGTGGTGTACTCCTGTAATCCCAGGACTTTAGAAGCTGAGGGGATGATCACCATGAGTTCAAAGCCATCCTGAACTACAGAATAATACCCTGTCTCACAAAACTATAAAGTATACTATCTTATAATCTGATGTTAACCTTTATTAGAACATTTTTAGCCCTAAATGTCTTAAGTGGTGAGTGTAAAACCTAATAAAATTTTGTTTTATGGGACTGAAAATATAAACTTAATGCTAGAGCACATGCCTAGCATATGTAAGGCCTTGAGTTTATTCCTTAAGCACTAGAAAAATAGAATGTTGATTCTGTTTTGTTTTGTTTTGTTTTTTTAATGTGTATTTTAGTATAAGGTCTCACCCCACAGATCAGACTCAGAATGATCCTCCTTTTTTCAGCCTCCAAACACTTGGATTACAGGCACGTGCCACCACACCTAGTCTCAAGCTGTCTTCAGTGGACCCCAGGGGTGGGGCCAGAGCCAGCACAGCATGCCACACCATAATATCTATATAAATATATAAATATAGGGGCTGGAGAGATGGCTCAGTGGTCTAAAGCACCTACTTGGAACAAGCTTAGCAAAGGCATCAGGGACCGCGGTTCGATCCCCCAGCAC